CTCTAGGACAAAGTATGCAGGAGGAGAAGCATGGCAAAGTTGAGATGACTTGGATGGGAAACGAATCACAATAGCACACTGATCAAACAAAGTTCTGCAACTAAACATCAACAATTATTTCATATTTTAATGCTTACTTTAACACCTGTACACATGTAGTGGTAAATCAGTCCACAGTTTTGGACCTGCTACAGAAAAGGATCTGTCACCTCTCAGTTTGAGAGTTAGGGACTTTCAGAAGCAGATGACCAGATGATCTAAGAGAGCGCTGTGGGACAAGTGGATGTACTAGATCTGAGCGGTAAGAGGGGGCGGAGCTGTTTAGGCATTTAAAGACATACAGGAGGATCTTAAAGTGAATTCTGAAATGAACCGGAAACCAGTGAAGAGATGCTAGAACAGGAGTAATCTCTTTTACTTGTGATAGTTAGAAATCAGGCTGCTGCGTTCTGGACTATTGCAAACGAGCACTGGAGGACTGACTGATTCCAGACAGCAGAGCATTACTGTTATCCAGCCTGGATGTAATGAACGCATGAATTAATGTCTCCAGATTTATTTTTGACAGGATGGGTTTTAACTTGGACTCTCCTCAGCTGAAAAAAGCAGATTCAACAATGGAGTTTACATGACTGTTTAGTTTCAAGTATGGATCCATTTTTACACCTAGGTTGGTGACAAGTTGTTTTTCAAACGGGGCCAGAGTGGAAAGGTCAATGCAAGTGTTACTGTTTGTGTTGTTGGAAACAGAATGACTTCTGTTCTCTTCTCATTAAAGTTTAGGAAGTTTAAAGCCATCCAATCCCTGATGTCAGGCTGGATGCAGTGCGGACCATCCTGTTTTATTTTTTAAACAGGCTACTTATCATGTTTTTTTCTTACTTTCCTGCAGTCGGTCAGCCAGCTCCACCTGCTTCATCCTCCTCAAGAAGTCCTGGGTGATCTTCACAAATGCCTCCATGCTGCTCCTCCTCTGCTCTTCATCCTCACCTCCCAATCTGTCTTCGTCTTCCCACTGACTCTTAAAACATTCTGTGTAATCTGGACTCAGAACCTTTCTGATTTTCTTCAGCTCGTTCTTCACAAAGCTGATCACGTTTTCCTCCAGCAGCTGGAACAGAAGAATATATTAGATACATTAGAGTGAAATGAGACAAACATCAGATTCATGTCACATGTAAAACAAACCTGTAAAACAGTTCAAATTTAATTTAGCTGATTTCCAATTTATTAAAAATTCAATGTCCATTCAAGCTGCTAAAACATTCATGCACTCAATGATTTTCTGTCATGTCACATTGATGATTTTATTGTGTCATATTTTATGTCTTGTCAGGTGCCACCAGGACTACAGATGACAACTAGCCTTTGGTTAATTCTGGCATGTTACAGATGTACTGTTATTAATATAAATCACTTCATTCATGTTGGACAGACTGACACGGTGCAGCATGGAGACAACTGGGACAAAACAAATATAAATGTAGTTGATGTTCTTTTACAGACCATAAATATGGAGTCCAGATGTGTTTGATGTGTTTGATGCAGCTGAGCAGACTGATCACTGGAAACACCTGAACTGTGCTGGAACCCTCTGTGGAGGAAACATGAAGAATCAGAGCCAGTCTCCATGTCTCTCTGTCTCTGTCTCTGTGTCCCTGTGTCTCTGTGTCTGGCTCTCTGTGTCTCTGTGTCTGTCTGTCTCTCTGTGTCTGTGTCCGTGTCTCTGTCTGTCTCTCTGTGTCTCTCTGTGTCTGTGTCTGTCTATCTGTGTCTCTCTGTGTCTGTGTCTCTCTGTGTCTCTGCGTCTCTCTGTGTCTCTGTGTCTCTCTGTGTCTGTGTCTCTCTGTGTCTGTCTGTCTCTCTGTTTCTCTCTGTGTCTCTGCGTCTCTCTGTGTCTCT